GGCATCAGTCAAAGATCCTGCGGAAAAATTAACTCGCTGGATGGTTTTTGGGATGATATTACTTTAGCACCGATGTAAGTCAATTCTAAAAATATTTTCTCTCAATTAAATATGGCTTCATTTAAAATACGAAGTATATCCGAATAAGTAGTCATCATATGACATATATTATTATTATTAATAATTATAGTTATAGAAAATTATATGAAATATTAAAATATAGATTTATTTTCTCTAGAAAAATTATGAAATAAATTTTAATTCGAAGGTATATAGACCTTAAGGGGGTTTCCAATTGATGTCAATACCTCTTGAAAATTTTCTATATATAAGGTATAATAATAATAAAATATTTATCTAAATATATGTATTTAAATGCATTAAGTTTCATTAAAATAACGATGAAGATATGATATGATATAGCTTCACTCCAATAGACTTGGCATGCCAAATTATGACTTTTTGAAAAACTCGTTCAATTTTTTTATCCATCCATTTGCGATCATCCATTTGAAGCAATAATTTATTTTCAGCTCGCAAGTGAATTACGACTTTGCTAAAAAAAAATTGTATTGTTATGCACAATTATTAAATTTGACTTGAGATTGAAAACGAAAACTTTTTGCTTAGATCTTTCCTAAAATTTTATTACTCTCGACGCTTACTCTGCCTGTGGTTGTCTCGAAAGGGAAGAAGAAATTGCATCAATAAAATTTTGTGGTCTGGCAAAAGAAGATTTACAAGAGGAAACAAGCATGGCGAAACTACATAAAAGTGAGTTCGAGAACAACAACTACAATTGTCCAAAGATATAAATCAAACAAAGACTTGAGCCAAGGCTACTTCCTTCTTCTGAGATTACTTTTTGACCACATATAAATTTGGTGGGCGATTAGTTGCGGCAATTTTCTAATACTTGTACGTTCAGTTACTTTTTTTTAAGAAACTATTTAGATTTACAGATACTAATTTTTTTTTCATAAATGTATCTGTACTATACGTATTTGTATGTAGCACGGAGTGTTTCTAATGCCTGGTCTTTTTATTCCGCATAGAAAATTTAAGTGAATACACCCTACATAAAACATTGTGGTTTCATTGGCATGTATTGAAGGTAGACTGTCTTCATAGAATGTAATGGAGAATAATATAGAGGTATTGTATATCTTTGAATTGATATATATATAACGATATATGAACCACCAACAAAAACTTTTATAAACTTTTATTTTAATATTTAATATACTATTTAATTTAATATTATATATTAATACTATAATATTCAATATATAATAAACTAATAGAATGAACTACTATTCAGAAAGAGATACATTGAGTATGCATATATTTAATAAGGACTATTTCTGAAGTTGTGAGATTATTGAACTAGGAACTATATTTCTATAGTGAAGAATTCGAACAAATTTTGGTAAATAGATATTATTTTAGACAAGCCTTTCCATAAATGCCATATATTATGTTACCATAATAATTGAATTTTATAACTAATATGGTTTATGCCATTCTTTGTCATTATGTTCAATGAAATCAGTAAGTTTTCAATCACTTTCGTCAAATATCTGACTATCATAATTGAACTTACAATCTATATGAATTGCGATTTAACCTAATATCGCTTCCGATATTTGTAGGAATCGCAAATTTTTTAATCGCTTGTCCCAAATGCATATATTATACACTTAATATTTACACTTTGCAATCTATAAGACCTGTGATATGATCTAGTACATTGTTTTTAGCATAACGATTTTAATGGAGACCAAATAGTAGAGCTATATAAGTTTCCAATATAGCCATCGGTAGCAAAATAGTTTTTGCGCACCATTAAAAGTTAAAAAATAATGAATAGAGGCTTGAATCTATGAACATTATTGCATGTTTTCTTCTTTTGTGTTTGATCCTAAGATTTTTCTACTTCTAAAGGTCTTAGTTTCGCCTTATAAGATAATGACTATCCTTAATTGTTAAAAATAGTTTTGTGCACAAAATAAACTATAAATATGTGTGTATCTCCTATAAAGAATATATAATATGGAAAGACTTAGTACTGGTGTCGTTATTAGAATGATAACTTTGCTTCATCTTCTTCTTCTTTGCTTGATCAAACGCAATTTAATACCCAAAGCTCTTTTACTCAATAGTGTCTATGACCATTTAGATGAGCCACTGTAATAAGAGCTCCGTTCAATTCTTATAAGTTATTTAGATGATTTTATAGAAGTATACTTTGAAGCCCAATGTATCATTTTGACGGAATATATATTGCATTTGATTTGAGAGAGTGCTATTCTGAATTAGTGTGCGCTTCCACAGCATCGAACAACTTCAACGCTCTGTCTTAGATATACTTTTGCACACTCCCGATTAACTAAAAATACATATAGTCTTATAATTGAAGGTTACATTTAGTAAAGTAAATCGCAAACTCTTAATGCTCATAAACTATTTAAAATGACATAGTTTGTCAGAATATACCTTAGAATAACTAAAGAATATAAAGTATATAAAGAATAATCTTAGAATATATGATCCATCCTAAGGTGTTGAGAACCATACAGCTCTTTTTATATCATCCTACATCGAGGACATTACCAAAAAGTGGGGCAGAAGTGGGAACCAGAAAGAATTCTTTTTGTAATTATGTTTGAAACAAATGAAGGTAATTCTAAAGAAGAAATCAATCAAGTTGCGCCCAGTACTTATTATATAAATAATTAAAATTATTAAACTAAAAGAATTATATTAATCGAAAAACTGCTTACTAGGTCTGCCAGTGCACATTTATGTCCGTACCTTCACCAACGATTTAAGGAGTTGGTCTAGGCAGTAGCATTACTGCATAGTTCTTTTTTTATTGTAATATAACAGAGAACCCTCGCTCCCTGATACCACTCATTCGCTACGTCCATCTTCTAGTTTATATTATGTTTTCTCAATTTTGGAACTACAAAATCTCGAATCTCTTAAAAAAGCTGTATTGAGATTCTCTTATTTTATATTCAATTATATTATGTCTGATGTTTAATTAGTAACATGATAGAGATGTAATAGAGATGTAGTGGTTTTGTTGCTACCACTTGAATAATTTTGGAATTCCATCTTTTATGGCCAGTGGTTAACCACGAATATTGAATTACGTCTCATTTGTCAAATGCAACATCGTCCACTTATTACTTTTTCAATCATTTTCAGGTTCATCCGCACTATTTGATGTCACCTTATTCCATTGTAATGAAATTAACTCCACTCTTTCTAACAAAATGAGGCGGTAAAAACCCGCACAATACGAAAAGCAAAAGCATACGAGCTTCGAATATAAATCTGAGCCAAAATCATACCATGACCAACAAGTGAAATTATACAAAATATTATTTTCATTCGCTTCGAAGTGTACCGAGTTTAATTGAATCTCTTTGCGAGATCAAAATTTCTTTGTGTCGCTTCATAGAATTTCTTGGTTAATCATTAAACATCAGTAAATAGTTTCATTAATGATTATGATTTTTATATGCTTATACATATATCTATGTACTCATATTATTTACAGCTAACTTAATATGAAACGCAGAAGAACTGAAGAACTGACAAACTGGAGACTGACATCAACTGTAGATTGATGTCAATCAGGTACTTAACTATTTTATTAGCACTTTCGGATGGAATTTGGTGCTTATAAGGTAACAAGATGCGCTTACGGTTATTATAAAAAAATAAATTTATTAAAAAAATATTACGAAAAATATTTTAAAATATTAAAAAAGAATTTATAAAATTATTTATTATTTACTTATTTGACCAATTAGTCATCAGGTCTGCTACCTGATCCAATCTCGTACAATCAAACACGCTTAGTGATCCCTTCACGTGAATACTGCACTAGAGACACGGATTTCCCTTATGTCTTCTTACTTCAACTGCCACTTCAAACAGCTTTCTCGCTGGAGCATTGTCATCCATACTCACAACAGGACAAAGCGCCAGTGAAGCTACTAAATGTCAATTTGCTTAATGATATCAACGTTAAAGCTAGTACCGCTCTTGGTTCGTTCCGATGCGGTAGTCGTCACCAACTTCTAGACAACTAACAACTTTACTAACAACTTTTTTCTCGAACAGTCCTAGTCCTGCTACTTAATTCTGTGTTAGTGTACAACCTTCTGTGCCATACAGAAGCACAGGTAGAATAAGCTACTTATAAAGCTTAAGTTTTCTCGGTCGAGAGAGATTATACTATAGACGAAGTATAGTAGTACCTTTCGGCAATGGTAATTTTTTGTCCGATCTCCGGTATGGCCTTGTTGTTGTTAGTTACGACGGTACCAATATAGATAAAATCTTTATCAGCTTAAAAATTCTTGTTGCCAGCAACCAGCACGGCATTCGAGCGACTTAAATTTCCGCCAGTAACCAACATTTACTTCAAAAATGAAAAAAAACATGTAGCAAAACATAACTCCTTAGACCATTGTGAGTAAAAGTTACTAAAATGTAGCTGTTAGTATAACCCGTTAAATCCTTAAAGCCTAGTGAATTTCATCACTTTGTTTTGGTTCACAAATGTGAGTGGTTTGAGACACAGATCTGGACACAGGACAGGATACAGATCAACACCAAGGTAGATGAATGAATCCATCAATTTTAATTAATTGATTAAGTTACATTCCTAATTTGAATATGTTTTCACATCAGCTCAGTAAATGCAGTGTATTCACACAGTATAGTTAATGTATATAGATAAGTATCTTATTAACAATAGCTTATCGTCATTATTTCTCCATCGAATGAATGTTTCCTACTATAAATCTACCTTAGTATGGACCTTTCTTTAGCACATACAAACTTGGCGTCTTCTCAATTTCCATTATTCATAAGAAATAAGAATAAGAATAAGAAATAATTTAGCAATTTTATATTTTTAATTAATACAAATTTTATTTTTTTAATAAGAAACAATATAATAAAGAAAAGTTAATGAATATATAAAAAGTAAGTAATTTTAATATTTTGGTAACTCTGAATAACGTGGAGGAGTTGACCACATTACACTGGAATTACGTTTTAAGTGCTGAGACGAAATGTTTGGAAAGATTTCCTTTAAGTTAACCGTAACTGGTTCGACTGAAAACATGTTATCAATAATTTCAGACCAGCAATGTTCTTGCATACGAATGGCAGGACCACGAGTTGTACCTATAAAATTAGTAAAAATTTTTAAATTTTTCATTACAAAATTATTAATAAAGAAGTAATAATGATTATATCAATAATAATAATTATGCCAATAATAATAATTGTACCAATAATAATTATATCAATAAAAGCAATTATAACAATAATCACAATTATAACAAAAATAAAAATTATATCTTATAAAATAATAATTAAAAATAATTTTTCTTACTTTTGCTCCATTCTGGTGGTGGTGGTCGCTTATAAGAAACTTTGTCCTCATCATCTGTTGAATCATCTTCATGTAACATATCAAATGTGTATGACGATTTTACTTCTGGTTTGGGATTTGGTGGAGGCATCATTTTCTTCTTGCTCAGCGTGCCCTGTTTGGCTTTTTCAATTTGTGCTAAGTGTTCTTGCTCCTGTTCGGCAATAGCTTTAGCTTTTGCGACTCGTTGCTTCATGGCAGCTGCCTCAGCTGCGGCTTCTTCCTGTTGACGTAGCTTAAGTTGTATATCCTCTTGTTCACGTTTCTTTTTCTCAATTTCAAGTTGTTTCTTAATACGTTTTTCCTCACGTTCCTTAGCTTGCTTAGCCATACGTTCAGTACGTTCTTTTTCTCTCATTTCACGTTGCTGTGCGGCAAGTACATGTTTCTGCTCACGTAGTTTCTTGCGCTCTTCAGCTTGTTGGCTAAGACCTTTACGCAGGTCCTCACTGGTATTATCGCGTGAAAGTGCCTTGGCAGATGCAGAAGTAGTTGGTTTTAAATTTGTTTTAGGAAATCCAATAGTTTTTGAAGTGCTGTTTGGTAGCTTACGCATTTGTCCAATATTCGGTGTAACTGTCGATGATTGTGTTGGTGTAAGAAATTTTCCTATAGCTGGAGCATAAATTTTACCACCAATTACAGGTGTTGTGTGGGTCTAAATTATAATAATATATGAATCAGATGAATTCTATATTTTTATTTAGCTTACCGTTGAAGTTTCTTTTAACCGCTTTGGACGCAAAGTACCAGTTTTCGATTGTTCAATGGTAGCAGCCTGTAAAGCATGCTCAAATGCCTCAACCTTCTTTTTTACAGGACTTTGTACAAGTGGACTACAAATAAAAATTTACTTCACTGTGTTATATTATACACCTATAAGACTTACTTGAAGAGTTCATTGGTGCGTGATGGTACTTTGTACCCTTTAGCGGAGAGTGGCACCTTAGTTTGTGTATGTAATTTAAGTGCAGTCGGTGCTTTCGGTGCATGCGGTGGCATTGGTTGACTTTTAGCGATGGGCTGTTCAAACGATTCATCTTCAGTTATAAGACTTGTATCTTGCGGATGCGAAGTATCTTTAGCTGTTACCATCGATTGCCTCGATAATGTCGATGAACGGTTTGATTTATTTGCATCATTTGCGGCCACGTTAAATGTGGCATCACCTACATCAGTCGCAGCATTTGTGGACGGATCTGCATTTTTATTCAAAGTTATAGTAGCATTTGGATTGTCAACGATAAAAGTACTTTGTCCAGGCGCAATTTGAAATGTTGTCTGCGCTGCATTCGTACAAAATGTAGCATCCGCTGGTGCACCACCAAGCGTTATAGTCTGGTTTATTGGCGTTGTTGTAGAAATGGTGACATGTTCATTTACCGCAACCTCAGCCGTTGTAGCTGGAGGAGTAAATGTTTCTGTTGTACTTGCAGTCTTAACTTGTTCTTCAGCTAAAGCATCTTCATAAATTGATTTATGTGGTTCTTGTTCTTTTTGGCTTTTACCAGCACTTGTTTTGCGCGTTCGAGATGAAATTGGCGAGTCACCTAAACCGACATCGCTAAACCGTTCAACTTTTATTGGCTTTGGTGGTTTTTTGGCATCTTTTTTACGCGGTTTTTTTGAAGCGTTACTAGTCGATGATAACATAGAAGCACCCATGGTCTCGCCTACATCTTCAAGTTTTATACGCAACTAAGATATTTGTTAATAAGTAAAACTTATCAGTTTATACCAAAAAACTTTTCATACCTGCTTTACTTCTTGGTTAGTCGCTGTTATCACTACGGTCTCCTCAGCGATAGTTTGTTGTAGCTTTTCTGTGTCCTTATTAACAGTTATAGTCAGAGAATTACGTTTTATATTAATACGACAATTACGATTTTTCAACTCACTATTGGGTCTAACTAAAAACAAAATATTACAAATTCATTTTAACTTCGTGTGGACTTTATATAATTACATTTATATAATATATTTTAAATTTTCATACATTATTTTAATTTATTACCTCAACTTGTTTTAATGAAAATTAAAGTAACTTACTATTTTCTTTTTCTTGCGTCCTGCTATCAACTGGATCATTTTCACTGTCTGATGGAATTTCTATTACTGCTGGTCCGTTGTTGGGAATAACCAAAATAGAATTGTCTGACCTTGAACTGGAAAGCGAAGTTTGTGTAACGGCCAATTCATGCATTTGGGAAGGTCTCTGTTCATGTTCCAATTTAATTTTAACTGATTCATTACTGCTTGGACGACGCAATTTTTGATTAAGTTTAGGTTCCTTGAGATTTTTTTCTGATTTGAGCTTCGCTGCCCTTTGTGGCCGTGTAGACGATTGTTCCGTGTTTGTTGTTGGAACGGGTGGTGGGGGCATAAGCATCCCTTGATTAATATCGTCATGTTTTTGCAGTGTCTTATTATTAGCAATGCTTGTAGTTTCGTTTATTGGTGTTACCGCTTCATCGTCAAGTTCCTGATCAGTTATTTGCAATTTATTTGTGCGTAAAGAATTAACCGGAGATAGCTCATTGTTGATATCTTTATTTCCTTTTACTAAGCGAAAAATATACTAATAGTAATATTTAAGTAAATTCATGAATTACATACCCTCCTTTAAGTCTTCAGTCAGCGTGTTAAGTCGTTTGGCGCGCTTTTTTATTTGCTGAGGCGACGCTACGACTTCAGTTATATCCTCACTTTCAACAGAAGTAACAACAATATCTTTACCGTACAAAATACACCGCAAATTATCTAATTGTTCCTAAAACAAACATAATTTAACATTTACAAAGGAACACAAAACGATATTTTTATTTAATAGACTAAATCAACATATAATATAAGTATAATAAAATATTAATATTTCTTAGAAAATTTTGAAAGCTTCATTAGTACTACTTCACTTTAAAAAATTTAATATACCTCCTTAAATTTTTCCATTTGCATGCTAAAATTTTCATATTTTTTATAAATTTCCATAAGGTCCTCCATGATTCTCGTTTTTAAGGTAAAGCGCGTAGATTTCTTTTAATGAGTTTTTAATACTTTTATGTGGAATATTTACATAAAATAAGACTTATACCAATGTTTACTTTGCTTATTAGCTTTAATATTTTACTTAATTAAATTTCTCCCTTAAATTTTTACTAGAAGAGGAAATTACATATAAAACACAGTTCTAATTCTACCAGCGCACTTCAACTCCATATACGATCCACAGCATACAGTTTCAAATTCCGCAACTGACGCAGTGTCCCGCAATTTATTTTTTTCAATGTGGACTGTGGATGTTATTATACAACACATAGTTGCATTGCAAGACATAAGAGTTTGCTATACATAAATATCAAAATACGTTATTACAATAGGTATTAATAATTAGAAATATTTTATTAACATATATTTTTAATATGATAAATTGTAAGTTTTTTATATATATTACTCATGAATTGTTATATATGTTTTAATATTAAAATACTGATCCATCATATTATAAAGCCCCGTATTTAGTGTGACTTAAAACTGTCCACAGATAAAATAGAGTAAAGGTGCTGATTCACCAACTCAGACATCTGAATATGAATAATACTGATAAACGTTTATATATTATATATATTTTATAGAATATATTTTTATAATAATATATAATATGTAAAGAAATAAATATATATAAATAAATAAATAAATAGTTTAACTACTTATTGCTGATTGTCTACATTTAAATAAATATTTACTAACAATATCTGTTGAAATGAAGCAACAGTCACTAACCTGATCACTCAATAATTCATATGATTTATATTCACAAACCTTATAGTTTACTGCTATTTATTTAAATATGACAAAAACATTAAAAATTGATTAATTTTATTAAAATTACATTATTATGTTTATTAAAAAGACTTAATCAAAAATTGTTAATGTATTTAACTCAAACTATAACTTAAATTTTATTTATTTAATTACTCTTAATATAATATTTATGCAATAATAAACAATTTAAGTTCTAAAATTTAGCTGCAACGGATTACACTATGACACAATCATTCAACAATAGTCTAACAATAGATGACGTGAATTATACATACTCATAATTTAATATTAAAAGAGATAAGAGAATTTTAATCTAATGTTCATAAATAGTTAAATCATGAAGGTGCTAGTTGTTACCAACTCATCAATATGTAAAAAAAACTATAATTTATAACTAAAATAACTAAAATATGTATTACCAGATGTATTATTCCTCTAAATAAAAAAAAAATATAAGTTAGAGTTCTACTGATAATATTAACAATTCGTTTATATACAAATTTTTTAAAAAGTCTTTAAAAATTACATTTCTACTTTTAACTGTTTTTTGATCATATGAATATATAGCATTTATTTTATATGTCTTACATGCGAACTTTATAGTTTTTATAGTGTTACATTTCATAATATGTTATTAGGTGCTTTCCGCACTCACAAGTGTGCAAAAAACAATAAATTGCTGACCTATACTGGTTGAAATGTACGCAAAACAACACTACTTTATCTATCTAAACACCTATGTGTGAAGTGGGTATATATTTTATTGCGAAACATTTCTGCTGAAACTTTAAAATGCTACGCAGACTTTACACGAACATTTTCTTTCAAGTAAAATTTGTGCTGATGTGTGAATCAGCTGAATTGGTTTGAATTTAAATTTTCGAATTGTTTATTTTCGCAGCACTGGTGAAAGTAAAAAAAAATTGTGAAACGCTCCTAGTTTGTACTGTGTTTAACTTAAGTTTTACTAAGATTAGCTCGTGAAACAGACCTATTATCATTCCACGGCAACAACACTTACATTTTGCTAATTGTAATTAATAACATATATTATTATCCAATGTAATATTGATTTTAACTATTTGCTTAGTAATTTCAGTTAATTGTTTAGTATTGAAATATCTTCAAACGGTATATAAAGAATGTGTGTGCGACTACATTTATTCGTTTCGTAAATACAACCTTGAGTCACCTTTATCGATATTTCAGTACGAAAGAGTGTAGACAAGAAACAAAACAGCTGTCACTCTACCGCCATTTATATATGACAGCGAATTTGCGTGTGGACTTAATAATAGAAAAACGTAAATTGAAGCGAGAAAAATTAATAAAGCTACTTGTTAGTAAAAAACATTAAAAGTAAAATGCAAATTTAACGTAAACTGAAAAAGCAGAAATAGTACGGTAACAACAGTAATATATACAATGGGTCTCGACTTTGATGCGGTGGAATATTGTAAAAAGGTAAAATACCAACAACCGCCGTACGCGTGTCCAGTATCCAAGTGTGATCGAAGCTATAAGACAATAGTAGGATTGCAGTATCATTTACTGAATTACGATCATGACAATCCAACACCTATAACACCAATTTTGACTCCACATAGGAAAAGAGCGCGCACCCGTGGTACAAAGCATACAACACCGAAAGCATCGAAAAACAATACAGAGGAGAACTCGAGTTCTGCTAGTAGTGCACATCATGTTTCAAATCCGGAATCACTTGTAACATACAATGAGGATGAACAATGTGTAACATTTAACATACATGGCAAAAGTGTCCGTTTGGGCATAAATACCGCATTACCTTTCATTGATGCTGAAGAATATAAGGATTTAGTGGAACGAGGTTGTGTTTTGAATGCGGACGCGCCACCATTAGAAGAAAATGCGCCCTGGGCACAAGTCAAAGTGCCTGAAGCAGTGTATAGAGAAATTGCGAATTATAATGTGCCTGATGCGCCGCCACGACCGCTTGCCTATTACCGTTTTATCGAAAAATCAGCTGAAGAGCTAGATGGGGAAATAGAATATGATGTAGATGAAGAAGATACTGCTTGGCTTGATTGGATGAATGGCGAAAGGGAGAAGGGTGGCTTGAACACAGTTTCTGTAGATACAATGGAATTGTTAATGGATCGTTTAGAGAAAGAATCTTACTTTCAAGCCGCAGCTAATGGTACAGCTACTGGTGCTGAAGTTGACGATGATGCAGTGTGTTGTATTTGTATGGACGGAGAATGTCAAAATACGAATGTAATTTTATTCTGCGATATGTGTAACCTAGCTGTTCATCAGGACTGTTATGGTGTGCCATATATTCCTGAAGGCCAGTGGTTATGCCGTCGGTGTTTGCAATCACCTAGCACGCCAGTTCACTGTGTGTTATGTCCAAATACAGGAGGCGCTTTCAAACAAACAGATCAAGGACAATGGGCGCATGTAGTTTGTGCACTTTGGATACCTGAAGTGCGTTTTGCAAATACAGTTTTTCTTGAACCAATTGGTAAGTTCTGTGTATATATAAATATAGTAAAACATATATATATCCTATCTTCTTAGATTCTATTGAAACTATACCTGGTGCACGCTGGCGTTTAACTTGTTATGTGTGCAAAGAGAAAGGCATGGGTGCATGCATTCAGTGCCAGCGTAATAGTTGTTATGCTGCATTTCATGTCACTTGTGCTCAACAAGCTGGTCTATATATGACGATGGATTTCAAAGATGGTCACAATGATTCAACACATTTACAAAAATCAGCCTATTGCCATGCTCATACGCCGCCAGATGCTAAACTGAAAACAAACCAAAAGGATTTTGAAGACACTCGGCAGAAAATGAAGGAAGCGCGCAAAACGCTTGCGAAAAAGCGTTCCACTGCACCAGTAGTTTTACTGCCAACAATACCTCCAGAACGTGTTCATGAAATATCGAGCATGGTTCATATGCAAAAGAAATCACAGTTTATTGAACGCTTGATTGCGTATTGGACGCTTAAACGTAAATATAGAAATGGTGTGCCACTGCTCCGTAGATTGCAAAGCCAAGGCAATCATCATTGCGTTATACAGCGTAATGGCATTGAAGGTAAGTCATAAGTGCCATTAGTATTTTCAATATTAAATTATTAAATATTTACGTTTTCCCAAGGCTCACCAGACACCGATGAACTTTATCGGCAACTCAAATATTGGCAGTGTTTGCGACAAGATCTTGAACGTGCACGTCTTTTATGCGAGTTGGTGCGTAAGCGAGAAAAGGTCAAAGCAGTACTTGTCAAAATATGTGAACAGGTGGTGATGTTGCAAATAAATCCGTTAGAATCATCTTTAACTAAATTGCTAGATGCACTTGAAGCTAAGGATACTAGTGAAATATTCAAGGAACCAGTGGATACTAAAGAAGTGCCAGATTATTTGGATATTGTGAAATATCCGATGGACTTGGGCACAATGCGTGAAAAACTGAAAAATAGCCAGTACAGTTCATTCGAGCAGTTGGAAAGTGATTTTGATCTAATGATACAGAACTGCTTGGCTTATAACAATAAAGATACAGTTTTTTATCGCGCAGGCATACGAATGCGTGATCAAGCTGCACCGCTATTCGTGCAAATTCGAAAAGATCTTGAGCGTGAAGGCTTGGTAGAAAATCAGAGGGAACAACGTGATCATGTGGAGATGGAGGTAGAAGACGAGCTTAAACAGCTATTGGCATCGAAGCCATGTGAAGAGATAATACAGAAATTACTTATATTGGCGGATAAATCGCAAGTATTAAAGAATCCAGTATACCGTACCAAGAAGATTAAACAAATACGCGTAGAAATAACGCGTATGCGTAAGGCCATTCAAAAGGCTAAAACTGCCGCAGTAAGTAAAATATTTTTTCGTTTAAATTGTTTAAAACATCTGAAATATATTTATTAAAATTATTTTTCAAATATTTTCGCAGCGTTTTTCGAATTCAAGTATGCATTCTCAAACCGAAGAAGAGGATGAAGAAATGGATACTGATGTGAAAATTAATGATAAATACAAATCACACAGCACAAACTCGAAGCGTTCAAGAAAGACACCTGCTAATTCAATGATATTGGATGAAGACGAAACTATGGGTGATGAATCAAAAGAAACTTTACAAACAACACAAACACCTCCGTGCAGTCCGATTAAAAGTCTTAATAATAGTGCGTCGCCAGTGGGCGTAAACAGAAGGTATGTACAATCGAATTGAAATGAAATACAACAGACTATAGTATACGTTACATTAGTGAATGATGCTAGTATTAAAGTAGCGCTCTTGTTTCTTTTTAATTAGAGTAGATAAAATATTTAACAATAGTTGTTGATTATAATTTTAAATATGAGTTAAAGTAAAAATAAAATGTTGCTTAAATTGGTAATATAATATTGGTAAATTATAACAATCTTAATTTTATTTGACTTAAACATTCTTACTAAATGCTAAAATTAAAACTATATATATATTTATCATCATCTAAAAATGTTTTTATGATACAATCAAACTCGAAAATCGTTCACAAAGCTAAAATTTAAACAAATTTTGAAACAAGTTAGACTGTAACACTATTTTGAAGAAGAATTTTTTAAAGAATATGTCAAAGTTTCTGGTATTAGTTTTGTGGTCATTTATTGTAATTAGTTTAAAAATGCTCTTTGCTCCGAATCATGAATTTCCTATTTCTTATTGCATTTTATTGCAGAACCGCAGTGCTGTTTACACGTAAAGCTCAGGCAGCAAAGAAACGACCGTCAGAAACAACGACGCCCGTGAAAGAAGAAACAATTTCATCACTCTCAGCTACATTGTCGAATAACAATAATGCAAATGCCACGAATTCAGGTGCCGCCATGGCAGCGTCGCTGGCAACAACGGCTTTAATGTTAAACAATAAGCTAGGTGTGGGCCATATAAGTTCATTAAGTGCTAGTTTAGGATTATCATCGTCTGTGTTAACTGGTGTAAAGTCGCCAAAAAGAAATTCACGACACAAACGTCTTTCGGATGTGCGAAATAGCGCCTCAATGTCACCGAAAAAATCACCAAATTTGTTACCACCAGCGGCCATATCAACCCCGACTGCGAGCGCCTTAACCTCAACACACAACGACTTAGGTTATAATCGTATACCAGACAGCTTTCGCGTGTATCGTGCAAATACTGAACGCGATGTAAGTGAAAGTGATGACGATGATGTCAGTGATATATCAGGCAGTCCGTGCAGCTCTTGTTCGGGTATTAGCATGAGTGGCTCTGGTTCTGAGTATGATTCAAGTGATGATGACGATGACGATGATGATGAAGAAGATGAGGAAGATGAAGAAGAAGATGATGAAGATGAAGCTGATGGTGAAGAACAGTGTGATGATGAAATAAATGAAAACAATACTGATCGTAATAAAGACGTAATAGCACCGGAAACATCAAAGGACAATGGCGAAGCTATGAGCTGCAGTGCAGACAGTGCCAGTGACGAAGAAACAGTAATAAATACAGGTTATAAAAAGACAAATATTAAAACGCGAACGTCAACGCCTACAGGTAGAAGATCACGTGCAGCGTCGCGTTTGAAACAGAAAAATGGCACCATAGCCGAGGTAGCGCCAGCTGAACCAATTCAAAATAATATCGGTGTTGTAACAAATGCAAAGACTCGTGCGGCAATTAAGCAAGCAGCCTCCAGAGCGGCTACACCAACTGTAGCTAATATTGTAAATAATTCCAGAAGTAAGAAAAACTTAAATAATAAAGCAAAATTAAATAATAAACACAATACAATTGCGCCCACACCGTCACCTGTCCCTGCCGCTAATGAGCTATTAAAACCGCCTTTAGAACCATTGCAACTAGTATGGGCTAAGTGTCGTGGTTATCCCTGGTATCCAGCGTTGATATTAGATCCAAAGACACCGAAGGGTTTCGTTTATAATGGAGTACCACTGCCGGCGCCACCGCCAGATGTGTTGGCGTTGCGTAAAAACTATACTGAAGATGAGTTATTCCTAGTGCTGTTCTTCGATGCCAAACGCACTTGGCAATGGCTACCCGCGATTAAGCTCGAAATATTAGGCATTGACAAACAGCTGGACCAGCAAAAGTTGGTTGAATCACGTAAGCCTACTGATCGTAAAGCGGTAAAAAAAGCTTATCAGGATGCATTATTGTATCAAAGTCAAGTATCAGATTTAGAGGGGCAGGGACCAGATCCGATTATGTGAAAATAATTGTATAATGTTTAAGTACAGATTAAGTTTTATAAGCTACACTTTCCAATCTAATGCCTTATGCTTATTATATATACGTTTATATATAAAATTATTATTATTTTTTGATTAATTAATTAATTTTTAATTTTTATAATTAGTTTTTTAATTTCATAATTTATATTTATATTTTTTTGCGTGGTTTTATCGTAGTTAAGTATGTGTTTATAAAAACGCATAACTTCTTTACATTAGTGTTATCAAGAATATATATGTATATATATTTATATATATATTTTCAGTTGTATTTAGCCATATTTTTGATATGGCTATGAAAAGTGTTTACTCGATGCTTTGTCATATTTTTTAAATTTAAAACTAAGTAAATTATAAAAAAAATTACAGATTAAGAGTTGCACAAATTTGCAGCATTCTCTTGGTATAAAATTATAATTACCTAAATACTTTTATGCTATATAAAATGACTTAGAAAAATATTTTGTTCTTATTTTATTTATCACAAATTTTGTATTTTGTTGTTAGCCTCTTGGCAAAAATAATTAAGTTTCTGTTTTTACAATTATCCTCTTTGCTGCAATAATTCCCTCCATTAGTTTTTATTTCATATCGCATTTTCTCTGGTGTTTTCATTCTGTAATTTTTATATAAATCAAATAAAACTGAAAAAAATTATACAAAAAAAGATATTCGAATTTTAACGACACTGAAAGTGTTTATTATTGTAAATTTGTTTATTGTTGTAAAAACACAAAAAAAGTATGAATGTTATAAATAGTATATTGTAAATATATATTACTAAATTTTAGTTTTTAAGTAACTGCTAATCAAAAATTCAGTTTATTAAAATTTTAGTTTAATTTAAACAAAAGAAAAAATAATTATTTTAGTTCTATTACTCTCGAAAGTATTTTCAACGCAATTTTAAAAACAAAATTAAAAATAATGTATTTAATATAGTTATTTAACTACCCTATGTTATACAGATTTGTTTAATTTAAATCCATGTTAACGAAAAATACTATTTAATTAGCTACATTCGCAACTTCTTGAATATATTTACAATTTTTGTGTTTACATATTAATTTTTTTTAAGTATAAATATTTTTTTAAATTAATTTTTGGTTTTCGTTTTTTTAGAATTTAAAATTTTTTGTTTGTTACCTCATATTACTTTAATTAATTAATTACTTCTTTATGTTCTTAAAATAATTATTTGTACCATTTTTTCATTCTTTATATTATTAATTTTTTATTAAGTGAATTGTTTTTTAAATTTTTGTTCTATTTTATATAACTTAAAACTTATTTTATAAGAATTGTTATCAACTTTCGTTATATACATTTTTAATAGTATATATAACAGTTTTTTGTTTAAATATTTTTTTTTCAAATATTGTATATAAGAATTTTATTAATTGTTTTAATAATGTTTTGAAAGTTTTTTTTTAAATTTATTTTTATATTTTTTATATATATTTTTTTTAATAATCAAATATAATTTTTTTATTATTATTTTTATTATTATTTTTATTATTATTTTTATTATTTTTTTTATTATTTATTTTATTATTTTCAAATATTTTTCTTTACAATATGTACAAATCTTACAAATCAATTTTACCATAAATTGTTTAAAAGTTTTTATTAATATATTTTGTCTTACAATATATTTTTTAAATATATTTTTTATATATTAATCAAAATATATTTTTCAAACTATTTTTTTAATTAAGTTTTTATATATTTTTTTTATGTGTTTCTCACGAAATGCTTTATATTTTTGATATACTTTTTTTCTATTTTTAAAATTTTTTTTTTATAATTTTGAAATATTTTTTTTTAATTTTTTTTAAATATTTTTTTTTATATATATTAATTTTTTATATATATAAAATATTTTAAATTATACTTTTTTATATTTTTTATATTTTTTTTTATATTTTTTTATATTTTTTTTTTATATTTTTACAGATTTTTTAAATATTTTATTTTATGTTTTTTTAAATTACTTTAATATAATTTTTATTAATTTGTTTTCATGTTTTTTTTAATAATTTGTTTTCATATTTTTTAATATTTTTGTATTTATATTTTTTTTTAAATTTTTAATTTTGTTTGAAATTTTTATTAAATTTTTTTTATATTTTTTTTATATTTTTTAATTTTGTTTGAAATTTTTATTAAATATTTTTTTTTTATTTATTATTTTACTTTATTATTATTAGTGTTTTATTTTTATACTATTTTTAATGTTTTTTCATTTTCATTTTAATATTATTTTTATTTAATTTTTACTTTATATTTATATTTTATTTAAATTTTATTTTTATTTCATTCTTATATTGTTTTTATTACTTTTTTTTGTGATATTTTTGCAAAAGTTTTTGTTATTCAGATTAAAAATTTTTTTGATACATTTATTTTACTAAACATTTGTTATTTCGTAAGTTTTGTTTTATATTTTAATTATTATTTTTTTATTTCAGTATTTTATTGTAATTTTTTTTTATTGAAAATAATTTTCAATAGCCAATTATATTAACATATTTCCGTTGACGAGAGTTATGAAAATGCTTAACAAAAATATATAAAGTTTCTAAATATTTAAAAACAATATTTAATTTTTCAGATATCAGATGTTTTTTAAAAAACTTGGTAAAATAATAAATTTTTGGCGATAAAATGGAAACTTTTCCAGGATTTAATAAATAAAAAAATAGAACAAAATTGTAATTATTTAAAATTATTTATAAAATTATTTAATAAATACTTTTTATTCGCAAGAAAATTGCTTTTAAATATTTTATTATATTTTCCATGAAAAAAAAACCAATATATATGTATTAATATATTTATATAAGTTACGTTGTTAAGATATTTAAAATTATTTAAGTTAATGTTACAATTATTAACAGCTAAAAAAAAAACAAAAAAATTTTTTAATACGAAAAATATACTAACACCACTACATATAAAAAAATTAAAATTAATTTATATATGTAATTTACTCAATGTTTCCAACAGGCATAAATTTTAATGTATGTATATGTAATTACATTTCTAGTTATGTATTATTACTATTAAAAATTCTAATTATTATTAAGAACTGTAGTTGAAAAAAATCAAATAAAATCAAACAAAAAAAAGATTATAAATGAACAATAAAAAATTAACTAAATACAAAATAAATGTTTAAAAACCAAACTTTTAAATTTTTAATTTGTCTATTGGAAGTTTCTCTAACTAAAGACTCACTAGAGACTTCGTCAATTGACGTCAGTCAATATGAGTTTCCTGTTCATATTATCTAATAGTCTGGATGCCGTAATTTCTCTTTCAAGAGATGCCGTCAACTCTTGTAATATAATACCAAATAATATTAGAGATCATTCTTTGTGGATACTTGTAGTAAGACTCAATTTTACTTAGAATCTATGCTAGAACACATAGATTCTAAGTAGAAATAGTTTTTGATGAGTTCTTAAGCAAGTAGTATTTTACTTATACCGGAAAATTAAGATGAACGTTTGGTACATAATGGTATTGCCATTAAGAACTTAAAAATATTAATTAATTGGGAATTATCCTTTTCAACAAATAATATTAGCGACAATAAGTGAAATCCAAAACTATTTTTATTACAAAGGTTAGGTTGGGCAAAAAGTATTTCACGTTTTTAAATCAAAATTATAAAAAGTTTTAAATTCAAAAATAATGTTGCCCAATTTCTTCGATCAACGCCTACGAATTTCGGGATTTCTTTTTTGTGAAAGTAAAGGAAATTGTATTTATTAGACAGTCTTTCAAAAATTGGAAGAAATGGATACCTGTAGGTTCGTATCCAGTGTTATACGGTGAGTAGTCCAACGTGGTTGCAATGAATCAGAACACATTTTCTCATATTAGATTAAAATTTTTTCATAGATTACAACTTACCTGTACCTAAACAACGACAAAAACAGTGGAATATTGTGGTGAATCTGTAGTTTCTTAATAATCTAATCTATTCGAACCTTTTCCATTATCCATTTAATTAATTTTGATAATAGACCAATTACAGTGATGAGCATCTTTTACATATAAATTTTTAGTATTATCGAATGTAACGACTAATTTCAAAGTTATCACATAGTGACGAAAACTTTTTGGCCAACCCAGTAATTTTATTCCCTTGACGTTATTTTACTACATTTATTTTATTAAGCGGTCCGCGCATCCGATGGAAGGTCTTGACTATTTTGATCACAGTACATTAATATATAAAAAAAGTAGAACTGTTAAAAATGAGTTTTCTATTAAAAAAATATATTGGATTGAAAATGTACATTGAGTCCTTTTATTTTATTTAAATTTCCAAACATTAACAAATTTAAAGCCATTATTTTCAATGCAACAATTATCGGTTAGCTCATAACTGGCCAGTTTTTTCATAAAACTAAGTCTGTGTTCAGTTAAACCATGTCGTCCAGGATCTCCAATGAATATATGTTTTCCTGCTTTTTGTAAATGTTGCAGCCATGGTAAGATTTCAGCAGCAAACTCCTCGTCATAAAAAACATCACCAAGCAATACTATATCTTCAGTGATATTGGTTCCAATCAAATTTTCAAAGCATACTTTAATGCGTCTTTCTAAGCCACTACTATTGGTCGGGGTATTTAATGATGTATTTAAAAACAGAGCACAAGCCGCAACTGAAAACAAAGTTTAAAGTAAATGGTAGTTATTTTCATATATAAGATGTAGCAGTAAGTAAGGAGTAAGGGGATGTAGCTCAGTGGTAGAGCGTTCGCTTTGCATGTGAAAGGCCCCGGGTTCGATCCCCGGCATCTCCAATTATTTTTTGTGATTAAACTTTTTTAAAAATGTTAATACTACCTTCGTCAATATCGTTTGCCACTACGTATTTTGCATTGCAAAGTAACGAAGCCAATGTGCTGGCACCACAACCACTACCAACATCTAGTACGGTTTTGCCTTTAATTAAGTCGGGATGATCTAAAATGTATCTAATAAAATTAAAGAATGAAATATTGTTATATTGTATAAATTTGATTTGTGTGTATAGTACCTGCTTAATGCTTGTCCGCCTGGCCAATAGAAGCCCCAGAATGGATCGTTTGGAAACACTTTTTGTGAGTCTGTGGTTATTGGATCATTAAATAAACGACATTCTGGAGTAATTAAATGTAAAGCGATTTCCGGTGTTAAATGATTCCGTGATATGCTGGTTTCTCTGATAATGCGACGTTCTAATTGTTCATAACTAAGACTATGGAGAGTGGAAATAATATTTTTAATATTAAAGTGAAATATACGTCTTTACTAAATTCATTTTAAATAATTTAATATGTATGTGTATGTAAGATAAAAATAGTTTTACTGTGTGGCTTTGGCACTGATTCATTAGAAGGTAAATTTAAAAATTTGTCTCTAAATCACTTCATTTGATGGACAGCTTCTCAGAATCGTAAGACGCTGTACAAATTGGAATTGACATAATTCTGATTCAAAATCGATTAGATTTAATGAACAAGATCAGTGTCAAATGTCAAAATGTTACAAAAAACATACGTACTATAAAATTGTTATTAACAAATTGTTGACAATTCATAATTTATTTTATTTATTTATTTGCCTTCAGGCAGTTTCTGAGTTTCTGTTAACACTCAGGTGACTCGCCCGCTAAACAAGTTTACTCCAATAATGCAGCTCCATTTTATGCCTATCACGCACAATTACAATTGTGCCAACTATAAATAAAACCGAAATACGACTTTACAACAACTACAAATAACATTAAAAATAATATAAAAACAAAAATTGAAAAAATTTTATAAGTAATGCGATACACTTTCCGTTTTGTTTTTCCCCTACCCCCAATTTAGCGGTACAATAAATTGTGATCAAGGTTAGAAGAGTTTTATGCTTGAATATAATTATTTTGAATAGAGTGGTTTCATAAAGTGTTATGGATTTGTAGTAAACAAAAAGGTGGATCTAAGATCCTAAAAAATAATAATTTTACAATCCATTCTAAATTGTTTGCGACCTCGAAAGAATCCAATAATTGATATATGCAGATCAAGAAACTCCATTACTCTACAGAAGCGCACAGACAATAATTATTTTATTTTTTATAACACTTTCCAATTTTATTGCAAATAATTAGAGGGGGAACAGTGTTTAGAGAGAACATTGTAAAATTTGTTTAGAGTTTTTGAGTCTTATAAAACTCAGATGTGTAGATTTCATCAAAATCTTTCCGTTATACCAAAAAATAGGTGTAACTAAGGATTTGTGAACTATTTGTATCGAAAGTGGACTAAGTTTCTCTGTTGAGACTGCGTGTCACTTACCAGTATGAATATATGGTATATCGGTAGAAGTGATGTTTCAGATTCTATGTTTGTATATACATATATGTATATATATATAGCTTTATTTATGAAAAATAAAGAAAACTAAACTTCTTCATTTTTCACATAATTTTATTATGCGGGAATACATATTTTTTGCGACGAAAGATTGCAGTTATAATGTTTACTTTATTTGGAATCCATATGATATTTCAAAGTTTATAAAACAAAAGGAACTTTTCGGTTATATTTCCGTACAAGGTAACAACATTTACAACTATTTTATCTGATATTTTATTCATCATCTTCTTATTTTCCGTTTTGCTTTTTTTTCATTTTGTTTTTACTATGTTATACTTTTTTACTACTCTTATTTTATAGATTGGTTTTAGTAATGGCAGAGTCGCCTTCTATCAAAGTAGATGAAAGCTTTTTTCCTTGCTTGGTCTTAGGAATATCTCAACAAGGGACATTGCGACCTGTGTGTATTTTCTGTTTAACTGAGGTCGGTTTCAGAAGCTCAAGCATAGATCCCTACTGTTTTCTAACTCCAGATCCAATTTCAACTACATAACAACTCAACTATAATTAATTCATCAGTAGTTGGTGCCCCCTGATTACACCGTGCAACAAAAATGAAATATTTTTAAATGTTAATTTTTTCTTGCTGGGAGGGACGCGTCTTTATAACGAGAAGAATATTTTTTTTTCTAATTTTTCATCGGTTTTAGGCTAATTTAAGGTTGTTCTTTAAATTTGCAACTTATTCTTCTTATGTACCTCTGGTTGTGTTAGTTACTGCTATTGCGCACTTTTACTCTTTTGTGGCTGGGAGTCTTATCCCTGCCCCACACTAAACTTTAACTATACTTTAACTATCATTATCATTTATTTATCTTCTAACTGATGATGGACCGTAGATCAGCATATATTCCTGTGCGTCCTGAGGTGGACTTAAGGTTTGTTAGGGCGGTGTTGGGCAACGTATCAACTTTTGTGAATAATTTTAGGGCTCTGTCCTTAATATATTTTTTCTCTGAGTCGATCTTTCACAATAACGCTTTTGGGTTCAAAAATTGAAATTTTAAAAGTTTAATAAAAAACGTTTAATTTGATATAGGTATATCAAATATTCATGTCTTCAACAAATCTCTTCGATTAATTAGATAATTATTTAAATCTTCGACATATTTTCTAAATTTTTTTCATTCCCTTTACAAAAGGAGGAATGTTTGAAATATTTATTAAAAACGGTTTTCTTCTCAAGTAAAATTCTAAAACCTAAAAAAGATCTAAGCTATATATACCATATAAGAAATTAGATTTTAAGAAATATTTGAAAATCCTTCATTTGGAATGTGAAGGAGGTAAAATTTGGAAAAAATGTCTACAGTACAAATATTCAAAACCTGATTTTTCAATTTTAATCCGTTATCGCCAGAGACTGAAGTGTCTAGGAGATATCAGATTTCCGATCCACCCATCGTTATTAGCCTCAAATTAATCGAAACCATTAAAAAATGGCCGTTTTAGTATTTTGTAAGGTATTTGCCAGTCAATAAAGTACAATTTTTTTATTAATTAAATGATTATAATTTGTTATTAAATCAACAATTGATTGATATAAACAATTAAACAATATGAAAACAAAAACAAGCAATTAAATAAAATTTATTAATTGATTCATTTTTGTGCTTTTGCTCTTGAACAAATTCAATACATCGCACTGTCAAGCGTACTTCTTAGCCTATTGGCATGACTTGAAGATAAACGATCTAAAATTTATTATTGGATTGTGGATATGAGAAGTATTGTAGTAATACATGTTGTTGTTGTTGTTAAGTTATAGAAATTGTTCAGATATTATGAGTGCACTTTGCAGCTACTCGAAGCGGCGGCACTCGAAGCTTCCGCAAAACGCGTCAATTACACGGCACTTCAATCTTAGAATTGCTTCCTTTTGTATTTGTTGTTGGCGGTTTTTTGGAAAATTATAAAAATAAATATCAACAGCAGATACTAAACGATATTCAGCGATATTGTTTATAACAGCTGCGCTCTATATTGACCTTAATTATACATTCATTGCAGTTGATTTACTCGAAGCAAAAATATACAAAAAATGTAAAAAGTTAACAAAATAAAAAATGTATTACGCAAAACTTGATGAATTCTGCAAACATGTTTTGATTTTCGTCGATTGTTTATACTCCGTAAACAACCGGACAAGGTCAGAAACGGGGCTAAAAGGTTTACAATACGTGCTAAAAGGATTCACTAAGAATGTGTTATAATACATTTTTATGAGGAATTTTTGATGAGTCAAGCCAAGTAAATGGATTTGTATTGGAAGGCTGGTGTAGTGTATAAAAAGTAGTTTATTAATACTTTAATAGGATCTTCTGTTTTCAGTATAATCATCCCTTGAGTATTTTAGTTCCCTCATATTTTTACAAAATTGTTTTATATATAAAAACTTATAGGCCAATTATGTTATCGTATAATGAATACCACAGAGGTTTAAAAACCACCTTGAACTTTGGCAAAGTTTAAAATGCTATTGGATGGGAGATCTTGAAATCTGCCAAGATCCTTAAAAAATGACCCCCTTAGAATAGTAAAACGGAGCCACGAATGCGCCAGGCAAACAACAAAGCAGATATGACGAATTTTCATAGTCCTTTCCACAACTGCGACATAAATTATTAAAAGGAAAATTTAATTTTCTACCTGTGACCTGTGAGCAAACTCACCACAGGAGTGATAACTCTACTGGGCATCTCAATGAGAGTATTGGATTTCATCTTAACAGTACTTGGCCGATATGTTGCACGCAGATGCCTATATGTCGTTGAATCGTCCTATCTTTTTTTAAAAAGTTGAGCTCAGAAATATTTTCTTAAACAACCTTGAATCAAATCTTAAAATGCTATTAATTGAGAGTTCTTGGCGTTGGTCAATATCCTCAAAAAGGGAGGCGTCAAAAATAGTAAACCGGCACCGTACATGCGCTGGACAAACAACAAAGCAGATGTACTCTCATCGTTCACCCTTGTTTTCATCGGTCTCTCGACAACTGGGGCACAAATAATTAAATGGGAGATTCAATTATATATCTGCTACCCTTGAGCCAACATATCACAGGACTGACATATCAATGGGGATTTTAATGAGAGTATTGGATTTCTTCGTAATAGAATGTAGCACACTTCAGCACAGAAAGATTTCAGCAAAAGTTCGCAGTGTTCCGATTGAGTTGCTGAAGCATCCTTTCTGGCAAATAAATAAATCTAATATATGCCAAGAAATTATATATAACCGTGTATGTGGTTATACTTACTTAGAACTACTTAGTTCCATTATTACAGCTGATTATTTCATGTGCATATATGATTGATAGGTGGTCTTAGCACGAACTTTGGTTAAAGTTGTTACAATAATGGAAAGTAGGAAATAATCGGAAATTTATTTTACTATTCTCTAATTGCTCGGTTCTCTCTTGATGAAGATTGGACGTGTTTAAATATTTATACTTTGAGTTTGGCTTTCTTAAGTATTCTTAACCGAATAAATCTTTTATGATCGACAATGATTTATCAGAAATGACTGACTAGAAGAAGGATACCAAACTTTTTTGGTAAGGAACTGGTATATTAATAAGAAAGCTTAACTGATAATGTAATAGAATCATCTATAGACGATTGGCTAAGGAGCACTTAGAATGAAGAAACATATATAACTAAATGTCATGATTTAAAGACCAGTAGAAAGAGGTGTTCTATATTGGTGGTCTTACAATGAAACGGTTCTTACGACCAGTACATTTTTCTTTTAAATCTGCATTGTACTCTTTTATAGAGTATAGGTATTTCCTATCTATTGTAAAAGAAGTCAAATAACTTATATCTATATATGTGAGTAAGACTGAGACTT